ATTACCAGCACAACCAGATTAGAGATAGATAGAATAACAGCCTGTGTTGAGTCGGAACTGCAACAAAAAGTTGCAGCACAGGGTTGCAACAAAAGGTTGCAGCACAGATTCGAATCAGATTTGTATCGCGAACAGTCCTGTGATCCTCGGATGAAGGTGGTATATATTAAATAAATAACCGCCCTGTACCTCAATTTCACCACCACCCCTTTCATTTTTCTCAGTCCACGCCTCAATCAGTATTCCATGGCAATGCTCAAAATTGCTCTGTTTTAAGGCCCTCTCCCACACTTTTTATTTTTTTAATGTTTTATTTAGACGTTTCATAAAACACACACACACACATTCCTCTCTTGATTTCGGAACACCCACCTCCCCAAGGCTGCTAGTCTAAGGGAGCAATCCTATACACAAGAGGCTGGTGTAAGATAAAAGGTAAAGGTACCCCTGCCCGTACAGGCCAGTCTTGCCAGACTCTGGGGTTGTGTGCCCATCTCACTCAAGAGGCCGGGGGCCAGCGCTGTCCGGAGACACTTCCGGGTCATGTGGCCAGCGTGACAAAGCTGCATCTGGCGAGCCAGAGCCACACACGGAAACGCCATTTACCTTCCCGCTAGAAAGCGGTCCCTATTTATCTACTTGCACCCGGGGGTGCTTTCGAACTGCTAGGTTGGCAGGCGCTGGGACCGAGCAACGGGAGCGCACCCCGCCACGGGGATTCGAACCGCCGACCTTTCAATCGGCAAGCCCTAGGCACTGAGGCTTTTACCCACAGCGCCACCTGCGTCCCCCTGGTGTAAGATAAGCATGAATAAATTTGCACCAGATTCAAACTTCACTGAGCATCAGGCTACTGCTGGCTGAGCCAGTCCAAGGCTGGCAGACGGAAAGCACCCCTCTTGCAAGAGCATTGGAGTTACAACACCCTTTCTGCTGGCTTGACTTTCGCTGGGTTGCCAGGTCACATGAATGAGGAAAACAGGCTTCAGAACCAGCCTACGTCTCCCCTCTCTGGTCCTCACCCCTCACCATGCTCCCTTTTCCAGGGCTTATGCCGGGTTAAGATCCATTGGGCTCAGCTGGCTGGGGCCCACATAAACTGGGATGGGAAACACAAGCCAACCATAGGGGCGGTGGGAGAAACAGAGAACAGAGGATCAGGGTGGATTTGATTTAAATCACTAGTCAATAAAGATAAAGTTAAAGGGACCCCTGACCATTAGGTCCATTCGCAGACAACTCTGGGGTTGCGGTACTCATCTCACTTTATTGGCCAAGGGAGCCAGCGTACAACTTCCAGGTCATGTGGCCAGCATGACTAAGCCACTTCTGGCGAGCCAGAGCAGCGCACGAAAACGCCGTTTACCTTCCCGCCAGAGTGGTACCTATTTATCTACTTGAACTTTGACGTGCTTTCGAACTGCTAGGTTGGCAGGAGCAGGGACTGAGCAACGGGAGCTCACCCTGTCACGGGGATTTGAACCGCCGACCTTCTGATCGGCAAGTCCTAGGCTCTGTGGTTTAACCCACAGCGCCACCTGCGTCCCTCACTAGTCAGTAAGACTTGATTTAAATCATATTTTTTTTACAGAAAGACTCATTCTTGCTGGTATAATCTTAATATTTACAACCAGATGAAGGTTTCATTTTTTGAATAATAAATTTTCAGAGTCGTTTTTGCAGTTATATCAAAAATTACTGATTTGGTTATCCTATTAGAAATACATAGAAAGATAATTATGAAATTGTTTATATTTGGGCAACTTTTCTGCTGTACTTTATCAGAAGGAGAAAAACAACCATTTCCTTAATAACGATTTAAACAATTTATTTAACTAAAACAATAACATTATAGCATATGTATCCATGTTTGTTAACTGATGAGGTTAAATTATATATATAATGTGTGTGTATATATATACACACAGACGTATATATATATACATGATCACTGCAGATGGTGACATCAGCCACGAAATTAAAAGACGCCTGCTTCTTGGGAGAAGGGCAATGACAGGCCTAGACAGCATCTTGAGAAGTAGAGACGCCACCTTGCCAACAAAGGTCCATATAGTTAAAGCTATGGTTTTCCCAGTAGTGATGTATGGAAGTGAGACCTGGACCATAAAGAAGGCTGATCGCTGAAGAATTGATGCTTTTGAATTATGGTGCTGGAGAAGACTCTTGAGAGTCCCTTGGACTGCAAGAAGATCAAACCTCTCCATTCTGAAGGAAATCAGCCCTGAGTGCTCACTGGAAGGACAGATCCTGAAGCTGAGGCTCCAGTACTTTGGCCACCTCATGAGAAGAGAAGACTCCCTGGAGAAGACACTGATGCTGGGAAAGATGGAGGGCACAAGGAGAAGGGGGCGACAGAGGACGAGATGGTTGGATAGTGTTTTCGAGGTTACCAGCATGAGTTTGACCAAACTGCGGGAGGTAGTGGAGGACAGAGGTGCCTGGCGTGCTCTGGTCCATGGGGTCACGAAGAGTCGGACACGACTAAACGACTAAACAACAACAACAATATATATACATACCAGACTGAGTTTTAGCACACATGAAAAGCTTAAAACAAATCCTTACTGTATTTCCTTTGGACTACAATGTAACTTAAATAGAAAACAATAAAAGAAAGGAAGAAATTCTAGGGACAGAACTACCCAAAATATATAGAAATTTATTCATGTATGCAACTGCAGCGGCAAGAATGTTACTTGCCCATAAATGAAAAGAAGAAGTAGTCCTGACGGAAGAAGAATGGATACAAAAACTTACAGAATACGCAGAAGTAGTGAAACTTACCGGAAAAATATGAAATGATTGAATATTTACAAACAAACTGTAAACAGGTAAGAACATTGGCAGGATTACTGCAACAACCTGCAGTTTCACAAGAGGATACATTTAAAGTAGATGGATAAATGATTAAGTTAATTTGGAGCATGCAGAAAATATATTTAAAAAATCAATAAACTGCAGAAAGAGGGGGAAGGAGTTCGAGTTTTGACATGTTAAAATGCTTGTAATTTTTTTGAAATGTGTAAAATTGAAAATCCTAAATAAAAATTATTAAAAAAAAGAAAGAAAGAAAGACTTACGTGAGGTTACCAAGATTTAGGTAGGTAGCCGTGTTGGATTGATGCAGTCAAAAGAAATTAAAAAATTCCAGTAGCACCTTAGAGACCACCAAAGTTTGTTCTGGGTATAAGCTTTCGTGTGCATGCACATTTCTTCAGATACTAAGTTTACCAAGTGAGGTTACCAAGTTTTGTAAACCTGGGGTGCCTGGCTCACTTTGGACAGCAGCAGGGCCGGATTTAGGTTTGATGAGCCCTAAGCTCCTGTAGGTAATGGGGCCCTTTATATGTCCAGCTGTCCTTTGTCAACAATAAATTGTCGCTGGTTTTTGTGTTGAATATATGCTATATGGTTATTTATGGACCTCATAGGTATCTCAAGCCATTTGCAAGTAACAAAACATGTATTTTATCAAAGTAATTGTTGAACAGAAATACAATTAAGAAGTAGTATAATATAATAAAATAATAATAATAATAATAGTGAAATGATTATTAAGCTCTAACTTAAAATGATTTTTTTATTCATAACAAACTTAATCATAGCTGTCAACTTTTCCCTTTTCTTGCGAGGAATCCTATTCAGAATAAGGGAATTTCCCTTAAAAAAAGGGAAACGTTGACAGCTATGAACTTAATAATGCAAACACATTGGCATTTGGCAATAACAAAAGTTCCTTTAGAAACACAGTTGACAAAGGCACACAATCTAGTCTCTAAAAACTTGTTATAACATGAAATAATAGTAGCAAACCAGTGATATTTTAGGGAGCAGGCTAGCAGACTTACTTAAATCATAGGAGCCTCCACAACACAAAACACTGTTGCTATATGTAGGTTTTATTTTATTTGTTTTTATCTTCTATTTTGGAAATGTACATCCAGTTTTTCCCCCTTTACATTTTTTGGGGGCCCCCAAGAAAGTGAGGCCCTATGCTATAGCTTGTTTAGCTTATGTTGTTGTTGTTTAGTCGTTTAGTCGTGTCCGACTCTTCGTGACCCCATGGACCAGAGCACACTAGGCACTCCTGTTTTCCACTGCCTCCCGCAGTTTGGTCAAACTCATGCTGGTATCTTCAAGAACAGTGTCCAACCATCTCATCCTCTGTCGTCCTCTTCTCCTTGTGCCCTCCATCTTCCCCAACATCAGGGTCTTTTCCAGGGAGTCTTCTCTTCTCATGAGGTGGTCAAAGTATTGGAGCCTCAGCTTCAGGATCTGTCCTTCCAGTGAGCACTCAGGGCTGATTTCCTTCAGAATGGAGAGGTTTGATCTTCTTGCAGTCCATGGGACTCTCAAGAGTCTCCTCCAGCACCATAATTCAAAAGCACCAGTTCTTTGGAGATCAGCCTTCTTTATGGTCCAGCTCTCACTTCCATACATCACTACTGGGAAAACCATGCCTTTAACTATACGGACCTTTGTTGGCAAGGTGATGTCTCTGCTTTTTAAGATGCTGTCTATGTTTGTCATTGCTTTTCTCCCAAGAAGCAGGCGTCTTTTAATTTCGTGGCTGCTGTCACCATCCGCAGTGATAATGGAGCCCAAGAAAGTAAAATCTCTCACTGCCTCCATAAATCCGTCGCTGGACAGCTGCCTTGTAACAAACTATCCCGCAGCTCGCAGTTGCCCAACTCTCCTTTTTTTATGAATGAACCTCCCAGCTTCTCCAGAGGCGGGGCCAGGCAGCTCCCCCTCGCTCCTATTCATTCGCTCCGCCTCCGCGCCGTGCTTGCTGGGATTTGTAGTCCGGATCCTCCTCTCTTTCCCCGACGCAGGGAGCTGCGAGCCAATGAGACGTCGCGCAGCTGAGCAAGGGGGGAGGCCATTCTGTTTCCTCCCTCCTCGCCGCGCAAGCGCACTGCGGAGCCCCTCTGCTCTCGTCCTCCCAAGCCCAGGCTGCTGCCGCTGACAACCCCGTTACGCACACGCGCTGTGGGCAGGTGAGGAGCTGCGCGCGCAATGGTGCCCCAATTTCCATGGGGCGTTTTTGCATGAGTCATGGCCCGGGGCCCCCCATACCCACCTAGCAAGGAGGGGGATGATGATGGCGAGGGCCATAGAAGAAGAAGAATAAGGAGCCTTGCAAGGCGGGGAGGCGGGCGGATACTGGAACATTTGCACATGTGAATGCATAAAAGGGGGCCACTTTGGCAGGGCCCGGAGGACCGGGTCTGGTCTCTTCAGTGGGTCTGCAGCAGGCTGGGGAGAGATGTGGGGCTCAATTGAATGTGTGTCTAGTTGGATTCTGTCAGGGGCCAAAGCTCCCCCACCAACCCTGTCCTACCAGAGAGGAGGGCTTGGCGTCTCAGTTTGCATGCAACAATTTGCTCCTCTTTTGCTCCCTCTTCTTTTGCTAATGTAGCAAAGTTAGTGTTGTTTTTGTTACGGATACTTTGAGGAGCTCCTAGGGAGATTGCATCTTGCTACTGTATCCGGGTTTGTGTTGTGTATGTTCGCAGATGGTTGCATTTTTGCTTTCTCTGCGGACTTGTCAATTCTTGCATTCTGTGTAAGAGGGCTGCTGCCTCTTCTTCAAAGTCCTGGACCGGTTTTGGCCTAGTGTTTCTGAGCATGTGCAGAGATACTTCCCTGTGCCCTAGAATCATGCGTTGAACAACTTACTTTCGTGGAGAAGAGTATTCTCTTGTCTACCAGGAGACCCTCTGAGCATATCTTGAGTAGAGCTGAGCATTGTAACAACAACAACAACAACGATGATGATTTATTATTTACACCCCACCCATCTGGCTGGGCTTCCCCAGCCACTCTGGGTGACTTCCAACCAAATATTAAAATACAGTAATGCATTGTCTTTGGCCTGTAATCTGCCTTAGCTTTCATTTCCCCTATAGCTGCTGCTTAGTTTGAGAGATGTTCTGGGACACAATATGTAATGATCGGAGGGAGAGGCTGGTGCTCCGCTTGGTCTACACTGTGATGACACTGTAGACACATCCAATCTCGACAGATGCAGTCCATGAAACTGTGTTGACCATGAAAACATAAGAAGAGGCCTGATGAATGAGGCCAGTGGCCACCTGACCATAGAATCAGTGTTGGCACCTGTCTGTCTCGAGAGACAATAGAGTGTGCCTCCGGGGGTGAAGTCAAACCACTGTGTTAGCAGCGCTGAAGTGACTTTAGTGGGGCGCAAGCCTGGGCAGTGTGTCTGAAGGTCCTGGACCTCTCAGATGACAACACACACACACACACACACACACAGCCTCACTGATGTGGTCCAAAGGAAAGCAGAACCAGACATTTGGCATCAGCTTGGCTGCAGGAGTTGCCGGAAGGAGGCATACAAGGTGCCATCCAACTGTCTTAGGATTAGTGTAGGGTTTCCCACTTAGACTTTTCTTCTCCTGAAGATATCCCACAAGGCAGTGGAGGTTTAGGGTCAGAGTTTTCTTCGCCTCTCGTAGAGTTAGAAGGGACTACCTGGGTCATTTACTCCAACCTGTGCAATACAGTGGTACCTCTGGTTAAGAACTTAATTCGTTCTGGAGGTCCGTTCTTAACCTGAAACTGTTCTTAACCTGAGGTACCACTTTAGCTAATGGGACCTCCCGCTGCTGCACAATTTCTGTTCTCATCCTGAAGCAAATTTCTTAACCCGAGGTATTATTTCTGGGTTAGCGGAGTCTGTAACCTGAAGCGTCTCTAACCCGAGGTACTACTGTATAGGAATTTTTCACCTAACATGGGGCTCAAACTCCATGACCCCGAGTTTCATGGCTGAGTGGTGATTTGAACCACGGTCTCTCCCAGGTCCTAGTCCGACACTCTAAACACTACTAAACACATCACAAGAACAAATTCATAATAACAGCAATAAAGCCGCAACACATAACAAATGTAGTGGCATGCAAATAACACACATCTTGGTAGTAACATCCCACCTCCTGGCAGTAGCAAAAACAACAAGGGAGTTTGAATGGATGCACCTTGGTCCTAGATGTCCTAGCCACTGAGGTTTGTCAGCTACAAATCGGTGAGGATTAAGTATAGCATCTAGATCAAGGGAAGTAATAGTGCCACTGTATTCTGCTCTGGTCAGACCTTACCTGGAGTACTGTGTCCAGTTCTGGGCACCACAGTTCAAGAAGGACACTGACAAACTGGAACGTGTCCAGAGGAGGGCAACCAAAATGGTCAAAGGCCTGGAAACGATCCCTTATGAGGAACGGCTAAGGGAGCTGGGCATGTTTAGCCTGGAGAAGAGGAGGTTAAGGGGTGATATGATAGCCATGTTCAAAGATATAAAAGGATGCCATATAGAGGAGGGAGAAAGGTTGTTTTCTGCTGCTCCAGAGAAGCGGACACGGAGCAATGGATCCAAACTACAAGAAAGAAGATTCCACCTAAACATTAGGAAGAACTTCCTGACAGTAAGAGCTGTTCGATAGTGGAATTTGCTGCCAAGGAGTGTGGTGGAGCCTCCTTCTTTGGAGGTCTTTAAGCAGAGGCTTGACAACCATATGTCAGGAGTGCTCTGATGGTGTTTCCTGCTTGGCAGGGGGTTGGACTCGATGGCCCTTGTGGTCTATTCCAACTCTATGATTCTAAGTGAGTGTGATCAAATGTCTAGGCTTCAGCTTTCCCAGAGGAGCACTGACCCCTTTGGCCAGGCATAGGCAAGCTCGGCCCTCCAGATGTTTTGGGACTACAATTCCCATCATCCCTGACCACTGATCCTGTTAGCTAGGGATTATGGGAGTTGTAGTCCCAAAACATCCAGAGGGCCGAGCTTGCCTATGCGTGCCTTTGGCACTGCCAAACATCCCATAATGTTACTCATTGCCCCTCTCCTGCATCTGTTTTCACACTTTGGGGGCCCAGGAGCACAGAAAGTTTTTTTTGTGTTTTTTTTTTGAGCCATGGCATGTAGCCACTCCAAATTACCATAATCTGAGCCTTGAAAAGTACATAGAGCTGAAAGAGGAAGTGGGAGAGAAAGTCACTCATCCAACTTCCTTCTTCATCTCTCTCTCTATTTCTTCAGGGAGAAAACGGCAGTGAGCACCTTGTGGCCAAGGGCCAAGGGGACAGTGAGTGGGCGGAGGGGACTCAGGTTTTGTGGGCCCCAGGGGAAGACCCCAAGGACACCACGGTGCTCACAAAGTGATCGCTTCCTTATCACAACAAGTCCACTTTCGAAAAGAAACAGGTTTTTGTTTTTGTTTGCAGTTAGGAAAGTGACTGAGAAATGCAGGGTAAAATGTGTGGAACGGACCATTTGGGTAGTTTCGTAAGTGACCCACAAGCAAACCAGGATGAATGCTCGTTGACATATAACCTCCTTGCTAGCAGATCTGAACAGAAGAAAAACCAGATATGATCTACCCTCAGTTTTAGCTTTGCATAAGCATATAAGGATGAATGCTAAGTAAATAGGTTGTCCGGAGGATTCTTTAATGTCCTTGACTGCATTATGCATTGGTGCTTATAGCAGAAGTGGCTTGGCTTGTATTTCTTGCTTTGCACCCTCCATTTCCTCAAACTGGATAGGAAGGTAAAACTTCAAACTCAATGCATAATGTTAGGATCATCACCATTTGGGGCCATTGAAGTGCTGCAACATAGCTGGTTCTCATGTGAGTTATGAATTTCTCTGGGCTGAAAAGCAGCATAGAAATTAACTGCATTTAGAACATTTCCGTATAGTTTGCATTTAAGCTCATCCACAAGACGGTTGCATGCTACGAGACCCTATAATTGTCTCAACTTCGGTTTCTCCATCTGCAATGTGGGGACTTTCTCTACAGGGAGGTTGTTAGGGCTGCTGAGGCAACATCTGTGAAGTGCTTTGAACAACAAGTATTTCAAATACAATAATGACCAACTTAATGAAAAAAAGAACTTTCTGATTTGCTGGGCAGTGAGTGCACGAAAGAGAACTTATCTGAGTGTATCTCACCATACCAGGAGCAAGAGTTAAAGGCAGTATTTATTCTTCCTGCAAGAGCAGTGCTGGTATTCCTTCAAGGCTGTGTAAAAAATGATATTGAAAAACCATTGCAAAAATAACCCCCCAAGTGGCTTTCTCCTGACCCCCGCCCTTCCCCCATTTTACATAGTGTGGTGAAAATTAAATACACAAACGTCCACTTATTATCTCTTAAAGCTGAATCAGTGGCCTTCAGTCAAAGACACTGAATTGAAAGGCGGCTTTTCTGTGTTGGATGAACGATGCATGCGAGCGAGACTTACTTTTTGGAGGTCAAGCACTATAAAGAGGACAGATGGCGTCATAGACGGCATTGCTAGCATGGGCTCAGTACAAGGGCAGAAGCTGCTCTTTGGATGGTGTGGAGCAACTGGGTGGTTGTTGCTTTCCAGGAATGGTGAAGCAGTGGGAGGTTGGCACGGTGCAAACACAGTGGCAGAGCCAACCTGGTGCCCCTGCCAGTGAGTTTGCACTAAGCTGACCCCCTCTGCTATCTCCTCCTCCCTTCTTCCGGTAAGTAGCAGCGACTCACCTGCCGGGAAGCTTGTATAACATTCCTGTAAAGGCTTTTCTGCACAGGAGGAATTGTTCATGGCGTTTGCCTGGATGACCTCATAGTCTCTGAATACCCATGCTCTGTCTACTGTTCACTCAGTTCTCAGAGCTGGGTAGTTACCCTTTGCTCTCTCTAAGCAAATAAAGGCATTTCCTTTTCATCTTCCAGAAACAGAATGGTATCTACCTTATTCTAAAAAATAAAATCAAAGTTCTAATGGCTCAAACAGACAAAGAATTGTGTGATGAAGCAACTACACAGGCCTGGATACAACTTGCATTTACAGTGGTACCTTGGTTCTAAAGTGGTTTAGTTGTCAAACAAATCGGCTCCCAAACGCCACAAATCCAGAAGTATGTGTTCCAGTTTGTGAATGTTTGTCGGAAGCTGAATGTCCCGACGCGGCTTCCGCTTGGGTGCAGGAAGCTCCTGCA